ACAGGCTAATGCAGAGCCGGGGCAAGGGACATGGTATCACCCAAACGCAGGAGTGCCCAAAAGGAAAAGGGAAAAAAAAGAAAGCCAACGGTGAGAGATGTGATGTTCGAGGGTGCAGAATAGCCGACCGATGGGGAAGAGCCGAGCAGACGCGACGGGAGATGCGGAGAGCGAGCGAGAGAGTCCGCCAGCGAGCGGCAGCTTTGGGCAAGGAAAGGGTGAATGGATGATGGATGGATGGGAGGATGACCGTAGAAGCGCCGGGGAACAGGGGAGCAGGTCAGGGGAGACGCAGGAAGCCGCTGGGACGGTCAGAGCCGAGCTATCAAAGAGGGAGGAAGTAGAAGAAGGTCAGGGCAGAGACGAGGGCCGAAAGACGAGCATGAGAGAGCTTCCTGTCTTCTCTATGCGTTTAGGTCTTGTTTTGCCTTGTGGCTGCGGCTGCTGATGGGGGAGGAGGCGGAGAGGGAGAGAGGGTGGAAGGCGACCTGAGCGAGCGAGAGCGGGCCGGAAAAACTGAGGGCGAGTAAGCAGGAAGAACAAACTCCCAGCAGCAGCAGCGATGACGGGCGGGAGGCCAAGGGGGGAGGAGGAGGAGGACGAGAGGACCAGCGAGCACCCACCAGCGATGAAGCTGAAGAAGACGAAGATGCAGAAGATGTTGGATGTTGAAGAAGTTGACGATGAAGCTGAAGTTGGCGAAAGTCGAAAAGTTGACGTCGAAAAAGAGCCAAAAAGAGAGAAAACCCAAAGGGGGCAGGAAGGGGAAAAGTTCCTCTTTGGGCAAGTTTGGCCTGTTTGGCTGGTGATGCTGAGTAATCCTTGGCCGGCAAGAGACGCAGAAGCAGCAAAAGAGACGAAGAAGAGAAAGCAAGTAAGAAAACAAGAGTGACTGTCGAGAGTGACGGTCAAGAAGTGGCCAGCAGTGACTGTCTTCTTCTTCTGCTGCTCTTCTTCTACTGTCTTTCTGCTGTCTTCCCTGCCGTCTGGCCCCCAACTGCTGCTTACTAAGATGATTACTAAACAGTTAGGAAAAGCAAGCAAGAAGTTTAAAAAGACGCTTTTAGTTTGTGTTATTTTAGTCTCTCTAAGCGCTGACAGAGACTGGAAGTGAAGACGAGTAGAAGCAGGAGAGTAGAGAGAGGGAGAGTAA